CATTGTTATAAAATGTCTCTCTTTGTCTGTAGTAACATTGTTGTCTTAAATTCTCCTTTGCTCTTAGCTCTCAAATGCTCACTCCTGTTGGTCACTCCTAGTTGCTTCTAGATGCAGCCTAGTTCATGCATACAGCCTTCCAGATCCCCAGAGATGAATATGATCTTAGCAGGGCCATTTTTAACCATCTCTTTCTTTGGTTTTCTCTGTTACACGTCTACATAGTCTACCATTTCACTTTTGGTTACTAGTTTCACGGAGCTGTTTGTCTTCTCTTAATTGCACCAAGAATTTCTCCACAGTCTGTTCCCAATAAGACCAACTCAGCAGTTTTGGAGCTGCCTGTCCTCCTGTCTTGTCTTTTCTTCTGGGAAGAAGCTCTTGGTATTGCATTGGAGGTTGGGACAAGGGTAAGGTGATGGCCTGCTTTTTCCAGGATACACTACCATTTTACAAGTTGAGGACGTGGAGGTGACCTACCCCTCCTGGCATGAAACCTCTGTCCTATGAACAGAAGCTGGGAAGGGTTGATAGAGGCCCTACTGTCCTTGGCATGCTTCAGTTGGAGTAGAATCTCCACCCCACAAGTGAGAACTAGGGGAGAAAGAGAGTTCAGGTTTTCTCACCTCTGCTACAACAGAGATCTAGGAACCGGGAGGAAGAGGAGACACTAGTGTTCTGTCCTTTCTGAGGTGAAACCACAGTCACATAACTGGGAGCTAGAGGGAAAAGGAGCTCCATTACACCCACCGAGAACAGAGTTTCTAAAACGTGGAGCTGGGAATGGGGCAGAAATAGGTTTTGGCTCAAATAGCACAGAATCCTTCTGGTTTTTTTTTTTTAAACCAAGATTTAGCAGATTTTCTTGAATAAATGCTTATAGATTTGCTCTATGAACAGAAATTTGTTTCCAGAGACTTTAAGCGATTATTTTAAAATTTTCACCAGTTAAATTATTATTTCACTGGGGAGAGAATTTGCTAAGCTTTTCACACAGCCATTCTGAAAGTCCTACCCAACCCTTGAAAACTTCTATTCCGTAGGCTCAAGTTTTTCTTTAGCTCAGAAAATTTTATTTTGTTACTTAATTAGTAATTATTTCTGTTCTATCTTTTTTGTTCTCTTCTTCTGAGAGTCTCATTATATGCATATTGGATATCTGTGTCTTATGTTATTTTTTCTCACAGATTCTATTCCGACTTAAAAATAACTTTTTGAATAACTTTTTAAAATAGTCTCAAATTTACATGGTAATTTTTCAAATATGGATTCAATTTCTCTAACTGAATTTTTTGTAATGTATAATCAGTTGCTCACTGCTTCCATTGCTATTTTAAATTAAGTAACCATAAATTTATTGGTGCATGCATTTTCCTTAATTTTATTATTTTTATCTTCATCACTGCTCCAGATTGATACATATTATGTTCTTTTTCATTTTTTCTTTTAAAAATTATACTAACTGTGCATATTTAAATTTCTTGGGTAACCAAAATAGTCATAACAAAGGTGCAACATTTGGGATTCTTGTAGAGAACTATAAGACCAAATTAGGCCAAACAGATGTTACAAGAAATTTGCTGACCACAGCAAGAGTTGTAAACTTGTTAAACAGCTGTAAATCATTGTTGTAAACTAACCTTTAACTAACCACTGTAAAGAGAAAAGCAATTAAGTAACCCCATCTTCAAGAAACAGAACACCATAATCAACAGGCTTGCAAAACCTATCATACATAGACAATTTCCCTCTTGCAAACCAATTGTATATCACTAATTTACCTGACACAGCATAAAAACTCCCCAGCACAGCCCAATAGAAATTCTTTCTAATCTCTGCCTCTTTGCAGGGAGCAGTCCCTTTCTGCTGCTCTGTCTATTGTGCTCCTCATAGTGCATCTTCCATTCAGTAAATCTGCCTTTCTAAATTCATAAAACTGTCTTTGTAAATTCATTTTACCAACCTACAACTCTGGCCTCACCTAGTCATATGCACAACAATTATGACTTTCAGAATGGTTAAACTTTCAATAGTAAGAAGGGGATTGGCAGTAGCAGGGCATTCCCAGGGGAGAAGGGGGGAACTTAACATCAGTAAGAGTACCTGCTCTCAAACCTTGTGAAGTGGGCACCAAAGGGAGGCCCAAACTCTACTTGTACAATGACCACTTGTATACCTAATCCTGAATTGTACCCCACATCTTTAAAAATAAAAAGACACAGGGATAGAATTCGTATCTTAAAAATTTTTTCAATAACTTTTTAATAAATCTGATGATTTTTATGGATTTATCCATGTATGGAGGTGTATGTCTAGTGAGCTAGCATATAGGCTGAGTTGATCTAATAAGATATAAATTTATTCATATCTTGTTTTAAAGTCTATATATAGGTAATTCAAGAAAGATAAGTTAACTCAGTCATCTCCAGTACAGTGGTTTCATATCTGGTCCCAATCGCCATGTTTTAAATCATATCGCGGCCATTGGAAAGTGGTTATGAGCACACACACAACACAAAATTGGTACTCATTTATTTTGCTCAAAAATCATGGCCAACTGGGATTGATTATGTGTCCACACCTAACTGTAAGAAATATTAGAACTTGTAGTCTCTAGTTAGTCAGTCATATATGCCTGGCTACAAATCAGAATTTCCACAGTCAAAGAAAATTTTATGTTAGTTTAAAAATTGCTGTCTCTGACACAATCAACCTGTCTGGCCACCATGAAAATGCCTCATTTAAATATTCTGCTGTGAGGAGATTAACTGACTAGCAAGACCAACTACCATCCTTCTGGATCTACTGTGTTCATGTCAAAGTCAGTGACTTACCACAGCAGGGATATTTGTGCAAGTTCATATCTGTAGGTTGCAGGACTTCTTTAGTGGGTGACTTTGGCTTAAGGATTCACCATTGACCGGGCTGAAACATTTTTGGAAGTGAACTTCAGTCTAAGACACTTCCCACTCAAATCTCTTTCTTCTTCTTCCAGTACTTTCATAGGTGTTAGAGCTGCATTTTGGTCCAAAGTTTTTACTTTCCTATCCTGATGGCTTCTCTTATTCTTTTTTTTTTTTTTTTTTTTTTTTGAGTTGAAGTCTCACTCTGTTGCCCAGACTGGAGTGCAGTGGCCGCTTCCAGCCACCGCAGCCTCGACCTGCTGGGCTCCGGCGATACTTTCCGCCTCAGCCTTCTGAGTAGCCAGAATTACAGGCGCGCACTACCATGTCTGGCTAATTTTTTGATTTATTGTAGAGATGAGGTCTCGCTGCCCAGGTGGGTCTCTAACCCGCGGGCTCAGGCAATCCACTCACCTCAGCCTCCCAAAGGCGCGGGATTACAGGCTGAGCCACCGAGCCCGGCTAAGGCTCCTCTTATTCTTCACAAGTATCTCTCCAATAAATATCTTGCATGTCAAATCCTATCTTGGTATCTGTTCTTTGAAAAATCCACATTAACAGACCACTCAAATATTTGAGTCTTCTCCTCTAAAAGAAGTAACCGAAGTCCCAGCCAGTTATTGTATTCAACTCAAAATTCTGGCTGCCTATGTTATACACAGTCTTTTTTGTAAGTATGAATATGGCTTCACCAGATAAGCTATCTTCTAGTTATCGTCCATAACTAAGCTATCTGCTTGCACACACATATAGACAGTGGCTGTATATCGTAAATAAGATGTATAGAAAGTCATGGTTTGAACTAAGCTCCTTCCTGCAAGAGGCCCAGTTGGTCAAAACAAAATGGAGTCACTTATGTTGTAGTTTCACATCACCAAGTTAAAATTAAAATGTTTGATCTTTCGAGGAATCAAGAGAGTGAGAGATAATAGCCAAATATCCACATAAACCAGTATTATTGGGCATGATAAAAGAATTCCTTGTATTTTAATTTTTATAAGGAAAGTAACTTTGAAACAACCAATCTACTTTGTGTTCTCTGTTTCTGTTTTCCTCAGTCTTCTCTGTCTGTGAAAACAATCTCTGCTCAGCTCATCAGAATGCTCATTCTATTTTATGGAATGAAGTGCTGCCTGAGTCTAGAATTGCAAATAAAGTCATTTAAAATTTTTAAACTAAATTTGTTGTCTTTTGTCATGCCCAATATGCAGTGGTGGAATAGGAATAAAAAAGTCAAATTAGAAGCTCCTCTTCTGAACAAGAAAGAATGGGTATGGGCATCATTTGCCAGACTTCAGCAAATTCTCAACCCTGCTACATAGGAACTATGGAAACTCCTGGACTAACTTTGGAAAAAAGGCCTTGTTTAGACCCTGCTCTACAATCAACGAAACTTTTTTTATCCACAGTCACATCTGGAATGGAATTGAATAGTATGTTTTACCACGAGGCTGCACTGATTTTACTGTTCACTTCCTGGTGGTATAAGTTTGAAAGCCCAGGGGCTGCTTTAGAGTTGAACAATCATACACCTTTGTAAACAATGTTTGTGTTTCCTTTCATATGGTAATCATTTCAAAATCTTTATAGGTTTTTAGTTTATTAACTTCCCCCTGTTTTATGTACAGGGGAATATAAATAATCATAATCAAAATGTTTCTCAGACAGCATTCTTAAGCCTGATGACTCATCTCTTATTCACTGGTCTTTGTGTGTAGCCCAACCCTTTCTTAAAACTGAGGTGGTTGGCTTAAAACCATCTGAGGCAACCAACAGGCTTGGGTGGAATGCAGCACCTTTATTCTGATATGTGCCTCATGACTTCTTTTGTCCCAGAGAAGACTAGAGGGAGGCACTTGAGAAAGGCATAGCCTTTTGCCTTAACTTGGTAGGAAATAAGTAGTTTCAAAGCTGCCACCTCAGTATATTTAAATGTCTGGCCCCAGGAAGACAGCATCTCCCTTAAAAGAGTTGTATCCCTTTCTCTCTTTGCTTGAAAAATGGCTGACTTTTTCTTGTCTGAGTTTTCTTTTGAAGGACTTTGATAAAAGTGACTATAAGCAGCCTATAAACTCTGATATTTTCCTTTAATTCCAGGAAAAGTAACTGGTGAAAACATGATCATCCTTCCAAGGTTTCACAGGTGATACTTTTAGTAAATATTTTGATCTTATGTAAGGATCCAAATACCTGTGTATCTTTTTAACCACAATTCCTCCATTTTCGTTGTTGCTTGCCTAATCATCTAGCCAATGCCTCATATTCTAAGTTTTTGCAAGGAAAGTTGTCCATCTCCACCACTATCTTTTGTAATAGTTAGAGTATAGCCTAACCTGCTTTTTTTTAAAAAAAATTTTTTTTCATGACTCACATGCATGACTTAACCTGCTTTTAAGAAGAGATCTGCAAACAGAGTGGTTGGAATAAAGTTAAATTTTAATTCTCTCATATAAAAGTCCAGTGCCAGTAGGATAACTTTACAAAACTCACACATAGATTTCATCTATGGGTCAAAGTTGACTTCTATAGCTCTTATCATCTTACCTGTGTCCCAGCTGGTAGGAAGGGAAGGATGTCAACTTGCTCATTCTCTTTCAAGATACAAACAAGAAGTGACACCCATTATTTCCACTGCTATCCTATTGGACAAAACTTAATCTTATAGCCATGGCTATTAATAGTGGTAAGGGAGGCTGGGAAACAAAATTTTGGTTAGGTAATCATGTACCCATTCAAAGCTTGGTCATATTATTTTAAAATGAATCAGCAAATGGATTTAGGTTAATGGCTTACAATTTCTGCCACAGTGAGTATTGGACTATAATTGTAGGAGTAGACTTATCTTCTGCCTAAGATTTATTTTGTAGAGAAAAATGTCTGAATTCTTTGGGTTCAGTCAAAAAAAGAAGGAAAAATATATTTTAAAAAATAAGCATGATGAATGATCACTTCAGTGATCCTCTTCCTAGCTTGGAGTGAGAATCTAAACCTCTTCCTGGCTGGATGGAATTGGTGGAAAGGGAGAGAACTGGAACAGGAAAGTCCTGGTTCTGTATCTTCCTCATTTCTTCTCTGTGCAGGTAAAGTTGCAGCTCATGAAGTCTGGCTTTCACTTTGGTCAAGCTCCTATACCAAGAACAGACACTGGAAATGTTAAGCCCTGTTCTTGCTCTAAGTTTATGCCATGCAAACTTTTGCTCACTTTAGAAAGCATAAATTTTGGCCACCAAATAACCTTCATGATGTTTTTATTTGCAATTTGCAGACAATATTTTGTGCTCTATGCTGAGGTAAGAATTTTGGGGCCATAACAAGATGTCCAAAAGTGTTGTTGTCCACCATTTCCCTTACTTGAAAGTAGTTAATTAAAAGTAATTAGAAAAAAGGAAGTGAATGGTATCACTCACTGTCAATACAGAAAGCTCAGCAATATAGCTCAAAGTAGGAAAGAATGTGACTCTCTTAATATTAAAAGGCAGGGTCACTAGCTGATTTTTAAAAAAGGTTTAACATTATGTTAATCGAGGGACTGTATCCCTCTTATAAAAGCTGGATGGGAGTCAGTGGGAAGAAAATTTATCATTCTGGGTTACAAAAAGTGTTTTAGAAGCTTCTAAAATAAAATTATCTTCATGTCATAAGACACCACTTCCTCTGTCATTTCTGTTTTCACCCTCTAGGTTCAGCCAAAGGACCAGAACTCTTCATCCGTCCATAAAGTAGCCCACCAACACTGCCATCTCTCCTTTGTGGAACTGCAGTAAGTGGTCAGAAGAGAAAGGTCACTAATATTCAGGTTGTGCCTAACACTGTTAAATTATAAGACATGAGGAAGAGTTTGTTGAAGTTGATAATTGGCTCTTCCTAGAAGAAGGGGCAGCAGATTCTGGAGGAAAGCATACATTTGAGTAAAGTACTAAAGAAAGAAAGCAGTAGCACTGAAAGGAAAAGATGAAGAACCAAACAAAGGAGTACCCCCTGAGACCTGGCTCTTTCTCCTCGCCCTCATCCAATGTGAATGGCTTGGCATTGAGGAGTAAGGTAGCAGACATCACAATGAAACAACATCTTTCTCCCATCTCCCAACTCTACAACTTGGAAACAAGTATGTAAACCCTTTGTTAAAAAACTAAGACTTCATCGGGGCCTGGTGTGTATTTGGTTCAGTAAAAAGTAGACAAGGTATTTTCTCAAACTGTATGTCTATAGGGGTAAGAAAAGAGTACTCTTCTCTTGTTTGGTCATCCAGCAGTGGTTGGCGAGGGTTACCCATCTGCAGAATGTACCTGCAGAATTTAACCCATCTTTTCCCCTTACCACCTCTCTCATACGATCCAAAAGCGAGTCGTCTCAGTGTTACTTTCAAAATCGTTTTTCAATCCAACCATTTCTTGCCAAACTCTAGTCCAAACACTCTCATCTCCAACATGGCTTCTGAAATAGCCTCCTAACTATCCACGCTGCTTCTATTCTTGCTAATTCAACCAGCAGCCAGAGCCATTCTTAAAAGCATGAATCAGATTATGTCAGCACCCCAGACATAAAACCCTCCAATAGCTTCCCACTGGAGTAAAACCCCCACGACCTATCAAGCCTCTTTACCTCCTGCCACTTTCTCCATTGCTCACTAGCCACACTGACCTTCTTTCATAAGCCAAACTTGTTTTTACTTAAAGACCTTTCCTTTGCACTTTCTATTCCTTCTGCCCAGAGTGCTGTAATTTCATATTTTCTTTTTAAAAACTTTTTTATTTCAATAGCTTCGTATTTTCTTTCTTTTTAAATGTTTCTATTTTATTTTGCAAGCTCCCTGTACCTGATCAGAGCATGGCATGAAGCAAGCATTGAAATATGCAATTCATTGTAAGGGGTTTGGATGTGCTTATTGAAGTTGCCCATATTTTTAACAAAGATACAAAATGGGTTAAAGATTACTTTGTTGGCAGAAGTAAATATGTTTGCCAACAAAGTGAGCTTACTAGTTATGTTCATAATTCAACTTCTAAGAATCTATTCTAAGATAGAGTAATCTAAAATATGAACAAATGCATAAATATATTTACTGATGTATTCTTTATATTAGTATGATTTGGAAAAATCGAAAATATTTAACAATAGTAGAGCACTTAAATAAATTTAAGAACTTGCTAAAATGTAATTGTATCAGTCAGAGTTCTCCAGATAAATAGAGCCAAGGAAATGTATACAAATAAAAATACACACACATACATACTTATATAAACATATGGAGGGGATTTGTTTCTGGGAATTAGCTCATGCACATGTGAGGGCGGGCAACTCTGAAATCTGCAGGGCAGGCTGGCAGGTTTAAAATTCAGGTAAGAGTTGATGTTTCAGGTTTTTAAAAAAAATTTTTTTCTTTAATTAATGTCCTAAGTGTTTTCAAGATGTTTCAGTCTTGAATCCAAAATCCACAGGGCGGGCCAGCATGCTGGAAACTTAAGATTTCTACACTGTAGTCTTAAGGCAGAATTCCCTGTTTGGTAAACTTCAGTCTTTACTGTTAAGGCCTCAACTGATTGGACAAGATCAATCTACATGATGAAGGATAATCTACTTTACTTAAAGTCAACTGATTATACATACTACTATATATTTTTAAACTTTCACAATAACATCTAGTTTCGTGTTTGACCAAAAATTGAACATCACAGCTTATCCAAGTTGTCACACAAAAGTAGTCATCACAGCAATGCTGTCATTGAAGGGAATGGTTAAATAGGTTACATAGTCATGTAGGGAAAAAAGCTTAGTTATGATATTAAGAACAAAGTAGAATGCAAATTTTCATACTTAGTCATGGCTAGGTTAAAATGTGTTAAAAAGCACTGCTATAAAACATAAAAATGTTAATAATTATGAAGTAGAATGGTAAGATTATGTGTGATATGTTTTTCACATGCCTAAATATTTTATAATGTTGTTGTATTATTATTATCGTTACTATTTTTGAGTTGAAGTCTCACTCCATCGCCCAGACTGGAGTGCAGTGGCACGCTCATGGCCAGCATCAACCTGCTGGGCTCAGGCGATCTTTCCACCTCAGCCTTCCAAGTTAGCCAGAACTACAGGTGCACGCTACCATGCCTGGCTAATTTTTTGAGGTCTCATAAATTTGCCCAGGCTGGTCTTGAAGCCATGAACTCAGGCAATCTTCACACCTCAGCCGTCCAAAATGCTGGGATTACAGACTTCAGCCACTGAGCCCAGCCTGTTATATTATTTCTATCATGAAGAAAGTAATAAAAAAATTCTTCCTTGATGACTGAATTATTTAAAACAAAGAGACCAGGCCATAGTTTTGTGACATTAAAGATATTAAATACTCAGACTTTTTAAGTGAGGAGAGACTTTCATAATAGAGTCTTAATATTTTAAAGACAGTCGGAACTTTATTTTGTCAATTGGACCTATTCCTAAGCAGTAAGAAATTCCTGGAAACTTTAATTCATAATTAGCACAGGTATTTATGGGGATACGTAAGTACCTCTGAGACCTGAAGACATGTCCTTCTGCCTCTTCCCTTAGAACTTTTGGTGTCAGAAAGTAAGGTGAGCTTCCTAATTTTCTCTCATTCTCAAGCTGAAAGTGCAAACTAAGAATCACCCAACACACAACTTCTGCCAGTAGTATGTTCATCAACCCACTGATTATTTTTTAAGTGTGGGCTACTTCAATAAGCAAGTCCAAACTCCTTACCATAAACAACATATTCAGTGCTCACTACATGTTATAAATTAGGCAAAGTTTAGTTTTGGTGCCCTCGCCACCTGTTTTTGCATCCTTGGTGATCTCTTCTCTTTTCACCTAATGCATATCAAAACTCCTAGCACAGAAAATAATTTGATAATGATCATAGCTGTTTTATTGAACATCTGTTATATACCGGGTATAATTCTAGAGACAACTGTGAGACGGGTAATATCACAAATTTTATGTTACAGAGTAGACTAAGTGTTATATGTAGAATAAATGAGGTTAAATAACTTGACAAAATATGTGCTTTTTGTCAAGTTATTTATCTATAAATATATGAATTTTATATGTACATACAATTCATATGTATTTTAAGGCATCCTGTATTTTATCTAGCAACCTTATATGCAATGATTAATGATAACTTTTCTGTTTTTTTTCTTGGCATCCATTCAATTCTCCTTTTGCATATGATTTTGTTTTAGTCTTCATGGGTAAAACATGTAATCAAAAGGAAACACACAGTTGATATTTGCGATCACGCACTTTTAATAGAACTAATATACTTAGTTGTGTAATTTCTGCAGCAATACTTTTACCTAGGTGCAGGCAAAAAGAAGACAGATGTTTAGGCTGAAGTGGTAAAGAAAAGAAGAGCAAATTTTGTCGTTTATTTGTAGGTGTTATAAGAGTTAAATTGTAGAGTCTAGAATGAATGGAGTGAAGATAGATTAGGAGTGGCAGAAAAAGAAAGTGGAATATTTTATGAAGTAGGAGTCCCAAAAGTGTTGAAGAAATTTACAGAAGGCGTATTTAAGCAGGCAAGCTAGAAGAAAAGGTGCCTTTATTAAAGAAGGGAAACTCCCAAATCAATGATTTTGGGATTTAGAAAGCTATGAACAATTCACAGGGTGGCCATCAAAGTTGGTGAATGAAATGAAATGCAAAGCATCATTGTACAAGAGAAGGTCAACTAATATAGAGCTTGAGTGTTATGAAAATAATCCACTAAGGTTTTAAAGTTATCCCAAAATTAGAATGCAAAGAAAACTATATACAAGTGTTAAAGTCTTCAGTGAATGGTGGAGTGCCTAGGCTCTAGTTAGTAAGTGATAACACAGAGTAGGAAAAGTACAGGGTAGAGTCTCATGGCATGCTCTTTAATCATTTTATATTCATTTAAAACCTTTAGTCACATATTTCCAAGCCTTATACCAATTGCTGCCCACTCCTTTCTCATATGATTTTAACACTTCCTAAACTTTGAGTTGCATCCTCTAGCTTGCATATAAGTCTATGTGTGACACTTCCTGATTTTCATCTTTGTGAAATGCAAGTTCATATTAATTCCGAATGGTGTTCATTACTTAAAGCTTGTGTTCAACCCAGGATTTTCTACAATAGCACTGATTATAGAACACTCTGATGGAAATGTTCTCTACCTGTGTCTTGTGTTCTAGTACAAAGGCCAAATCACTCTCAGGGCCATTCTCAGAACCAGATGTGCAAATATAAAATTGTCCCTCACCTTCTTATTGCAACCCTTCCCTCCCTGGCCTTTGCCCTATTTTTTTTTTTTTTTTTTTTGGTCTCAGCTCTTCTTTGGGAGTCAGAAAATAAAATGCATAAATGTCTGTCAGTGCTTCGAAAACAGAAGCACATGGCTCTTTAAAGTGCCATGGAAGGCCTCTGGAAGTCCATGAACCTCGTGTATGTGTGAATGTGAACTTTTCTGGGGAGTGTCCTAGGCATTAATCTTTCCTTAAGGGCTATGAGATCCAAAAATGTTAAAAGATTTTTTTGTCTATAGTGAACATATAAAAATCTTAGGAATCCCAGAAGAGATAAAACTTAAATTATCAAAAACTCCCAAACCAGAAAGAAGATTGAGAGTGGAGAGCAGTTTTTCCCTCCCAGCAGTGCCTGGGAAAATGCTAGCACACAGTAAGCAGTAACAACTACTTATTGGCTATTTATTCAGTCAATATTGATAAATGAAGAATACATAAAATGGATAAAGTGTACTCAGATAAGGACAATGTACTTTGATGGGTTCCATTTATCTTAAGGGGAGCAGGGGTCTATTAGGACTTCCCAATACTATCTAAAAATGAACATAAGAGCTATGAATTAGAGATCTTGAAAATGAAAAACACGCTTTCTTTTTTAAAAAGTTTTTATTTTAAATATGTGGGGTACAACTCAGAATTAGGTATGTAAAAGTTCATTATGCAAGTACCCTTGTTGATGAGGTGTGCCCCTGCCCTTCCCTGGCAGTTTCCCACTACTGCCAATCCCTTTCTTATAGTATTATGATAGTTTTTCAAGGTCCATTGTGCTACAGTCATTGATTCTTGACAAGTTTCCAAAATGAAAGATCT